TATATATATCGAAGTGGTGGTGGGCCGCCTGGACCAAAAAATGCCAGGGTTGATTTTTTTGTCCCAGTCCAGCCCTGGTCATGATTGTCAGACAGCTCGTTTGGTTTTAATACTATGAACATTTGGGCGGCTGTGAAAGAGGAAGTATGAACTACTCTGGTGTATCTGGTTCTGCCCCTAAAGCACTTTTTGACCGTTTCTCCCTGTGCAGTCTGACTATCCTTACAATGAGAATGTCCCCAGCATTAAAATCCCAATGGACATGATGGAGCAGGAGCCTTTTTTAGGAGATAAGGCCTCTGACAGTGAGTAGACTGGACCTGGGGCCTCACCTCAATTTGTACCTCTTGAATGATTCAGCATGAGCAGTTTGCTTTCTCTTCCTTTCATATGCGGTGCATGCTACCATTTGATTCTCTGTCACATAATGCCTGTGAAGTTTGTCAGTCCTCTGTGGTAACTGACAGCTTCATTACCTTTTCTCGCCCTGTCGTAATCGTTTTGCTTTACTTTTGCAATTTTAGTTAACTGTTACTCTAAACTTAAAGGAATAGTTCATCCAAATGTACTCCCCCTCAGGCCATCCAAGATGTAGATGAGTTTGTTTCTTCATCGGAACAGACTGGGAGAAAATGTAGCATTACATCACTTGCTCTCACCAGTGGATCCTCTGCAGTAAATGGGTGCCGTCAGAATGAGAGTTCAAACTGACAAAAACATCACAATAATTCACAAGTACTCTAGTCCATCATTTAACATTTTGTAAAGTGAAAGGCTGCAGCCTTTTTGTAAGAAACAAATCAATCTTTAAGATATTTTAAATTTAAACCATCCCTTCTGGCCAAAATACGAGACCATAATCCATATGCTTAATCCAGTGAAAAAGTCCATCCCTTGTGATCCTCTAATCTCAAAATACAACTGTTTTGGACTGTTTTCATTTGTAAACAGTGCTTGATCTGTGCATATTTCTCTCCTGATTCAGATGAGTAGATTTTTTTTTTTTACTGGATAAAGCAATAGCATGGATAGAGGACTCGTGGCATATTCTAACCAAAAGCAATGGTTGAAGTTAAAAAAAAACTTCTTAATGATGGATTTGTTTATTATAATCATGCAGCTTTTCACTTCCCAAGACATTAATTAATGGACTGGAATCATGTGGATTATTGTGATGTTTTTATCAGCTGTTTGGTTTCTCATTTTGACGGCACCCAATCACTGCAAAGGACCCTTTGATATGTAAGTGATTATATAATTGTTTTTGGAAAAACAACATTTTTTCTAATCTGTTTTGATGAAGTAACACTCATCTACGTTTTCAATGGCGTGAGGGGAAGTACATTTTAAACTCATTTTCATTTTTGCATGGACTGTTCAACCATCTTTTGTGTCATGCTAACATGGAGTCAGGGATGATAATTGAGATTGACAATAATACAGAAAATATAACTTTTTTCATCTTTTTTTGTGTGTGTAACAAGCTGTAGCAAAGCCTCTGTTTTCTTTTCTACTAAAACTTTTAACATCTTAATTCGTAGTTGTATTAAGATGTAATTATCTAATGAAAATGCTAATGAAAAATAATCCCATGAAATCCCAGCACATACTCGATATGAAATCATTGGAGGTCTTTAGTCTTCAGTGATTGTATTTGGCTTTTTTTTTTGCATGCATCTGCTGTATAAAGCGTGCTGGTGCTGTTGATCCTGTATGATGAAACTGCATGAAGGTGGTATATAGTGCTCGTGTTCAGCAGAACGTGAAGCCAAGCACGTGTTAATAATGGACCATGTGTCCCTCTTGCAGGAGAAAAGTCCCCTTCATTCCTTGACCGATATGCGTCGTGCTGAAAAGCGCCACTACTTGCAGACCAGCCCGATGTCAAGGTACGCATCTCAAGCTGTTGTTAGTAATATGTATTTATAGTATGGATGGATTGCTACACAGTGAATTTAAATAATGGGTTCTGTGTTCAGATTTTGCATACGTCATAAACAGCGGTGCACATTTCTATAATACAATAAGCTGCAGGAACTAAAAGCCACTTTAATTTCTAACAGCATCACAATTTGTCAAGGCTTTGTGATTACATAATGCCCTTACCTTTGTTAGTTGTTCAAATAATTCTTTGAACCACAAGTTAGTTTCAAAAAAATTCTTGGTAGTTACTGGGAAATAAATTGAATGCCTATTCAGAAGTGGACTGATTGAGTCTGTCTTCTTCAGTTCAGAGAGACTGCCATTAAATGTGCCTCAGATCAAAATAGATATGGACCCAGATGACAACAATGGCTACTACTGGAGGAGTCGAGGGTCTGAGACGTCCATATAATGCCTCCAAACTGCTACATAGATTTTATTAGCTCTTCCAATTTGCAGAAAGCCATTTGCCAATTGATCTTTTATAAAGACTGTCCCTCATCACGGATCCTTTTTGTGAAGACTTGTCTCTCACTCACTTAATCACTACGGTTTGCAAGTTGTAATCCCTAAACTATTATGCAATTAAGTTAATTGTTTGACTTGTGTGTTGAGCTGTAGAGAAATGCTGTAGCTGTTTTTACACTTTTCTACAACTACTCTCTCCATTATTCATCCAATGCAATATAAGTCTTTCTACCAAATTCACTTAACATGACACTATCTTTCCTTTTCCTTTATTTTTTGCTGCTCTACCTCTGTTTTACATGGTAGGCATGATGTAAAAAAAAACTTTTTTTCATTTGCACAGCATGAGATCTTAATGTTGATATTTTTAAATGTACATCTTGAGCAGACTTTTCAACAAATGACTTGTATTATGTTTAGAACAACTGTGACAATATATTGTAATATTTAACTGTTGATTAACTTTTTAATGATGGTTAATGTTATTGATTGGCATTGAACCTGCTATTTTCCATATTGTTTCCTATAATATGTGGTATTAAATCTAATATGTTTCCTTTAACAATATTTATGCCTAATTATCCAGACACATTCTAAAAAGCTTGATTAATTAAGAAAGCCTAATAATTAATTTAGGGTTTCAAGTCTTGTTAGGCATTTGCTTCATCCACCTGGTTATGGAAACCCTAAAAATACATGTGTAAACCTACATGTACTCCAGGGTCTGCTGTCCTGCAATTGATTTACCTAAGTGACTTAAACCTGAATTGCAATAATACATGAAATTCCTTTAGTTTTAAGATTGTCTCATGTAATTCAGTCATTGTCATTTGTAAAAATGAGTCAGAAAATGTCAACAATGTGGTACATGCATTTGAATGATGACATTAGTGCTGTCATACAGTGCATGTCCTAAACGATCTCTTTGATCTTTCAAGAACTCAGTATCTTTTGTTGATTCCTGCTAATTTGTCATCATTTTTTCTGTTTCTTTCAAAAGAAAAGAAAAAAAAAAAATCAATAGATCTATACAGGTAGCATCCATACTGTATTTTCAAAATCAACTTCTTTTAACCTTGTATGTAAAAGATTTTTAACTTATATTTTCGGGGGTACCTAAAGATGAAATATATGTGAAAGCATGTCTGGGGAAATTCTTGAACGTTTAAACAATGCTAAATATTAATTGTAGAGTGTGTAACAAAGATACATTTTTAATCAAGTTTTGTGAATTTTTAGAACAAAACAGCTGAAATTATCGTAGAATTTATATTTTTCAAATAAAAATGAATATTAAAAATGAACAGAATTTATTAAACGGTCTCCTCATTTCTTTTCATGCGTTCTTTTTTTGTACTTTTGTTTCCGACTTTAATATAATTTGATCTGATACACAGGGTAAATTACCCTACCAAAATAATTTTGCTGCATTAAAAGTATTTGTGTATGTGAACAACTCACTTTATTTGTAAACAGTATTTCTACACTAGACATATACATATATATATATATATATATATACAGCGGGTAAAATAAGTATTGAACATGTCACCATATTTCTAAAGGTGCTGTTGACATGAAATTTTCACCTGATGTCGGTGATAACCCAAGTAATCCATACATACAAATAAAACAAAACAAATAAGTTCAGAAATTAAGTTATGTGTAATAAAATGGAATGACACAGAGAAAAAGTATTGCACACATGAAGAAAAAGAGGTGCAAAAAGGCTTGGAAAGCCAAGACACCAGCTGAAATCTATCAGTAATTAGAAAGGAATCCTGCCCCTAGTCAGTGGAAATTAATATTAGCTGATTCAGTCCCAACACCTACAGTACCAGGATGATGAAGATGAAACGAGTGGACATTTCAGCAAGACAATGATCCCAAACACAGCCAAGGAAACTCTCAGTTGGTTTCAGAAAAAGAAAATAAAGCTGCTAGAATGGCCCAGACAATCACCGGACTTGAATTCAATAGAAAATAAGAACTAAAGATCAGAGTTCATAGAAGAGATTCTGTGGAAGAATGGGTCAAAATCACACCTGAGCAATGCATGCGACTAGTTTCTCCAGACAGGAGGCGTCTTGAAGCTGTCATTACCAACAAAGGCTTTTGTACAAAGTATTAAATACATTTCAGTAGTTCAGTACTTTTTCTCTTTGTCATTCCATTTTAATACACATAACTTAATTTCTGAACTTTTTTGAACGTTTTGTTTTCTCTGTATGTATGGATTACTTGGGTTGTTACCGACATCTGGTGAAAATTTAATGTCTACAGCACCTTTAGAAATATATTAACTGGGGAAATGGTGGTGTGTTCAATACTTATTTTACCCGCTGTATATGTATATATGTATATATTAGGTGGGTTTTAGCCCCATTTGTGAGACATTTACTAATACTTTTAATAATTTATTACATGAACTGGCACTACAATAGTTGTGTCCTGACTGTTAGTTGTTCACTGAAGATGACACAATGTCACCATCTAGTGTTCACAATTAACACTGCAACAGGTCCCGTCACATAGAGCAGTGTTTCCCAACCTTTTTTTAGTCGCGGCACCCTTTGGAAATTTTAACAAATTTGTGGCACCCTACAAAATTAATTTTGTCACAGTATTTGAATTTCTAACTTCGATATGATAATTTGAAAAGTGTAGCTATTCAGTACAACAGGGAAGAACTGCAGAATATAATGTCATACAGATATTTTTAATTTTATAAAAAGAAATGTGTCTATCAATGGTGGCAATCAGTAGCTTTTATTCATATGTAAACATTGTGAGATAGCTAGTTATAATGGTAATTAAACAAAGTTTTGCTCACTCTGTGTATTTTTGATTTTACAGTTGGGTAATTTTGTTGCAGTAGCACGAGATAGCTTGATTTGAAACTTTGAATTGAATAAAAAAAAATGACAAGGAGGCTATGCAGTTAATAATAAAATAAGAACAAATAAAGAAATTACTAATGATAGCACAAATAAAAAATAACGATAGGCATACAAATTAAATAAATAGTTATTTAGTTTTTCGGGTAGGTCTAGCACACAGTAGGGCTATTAAGAGATTTTTTTTAACCAATTATCCAAATAATGTTTAATCCTAGAAAGCTATTATTATCAGAGGACACGTGAGCATAACGGTTTGCAGATCAATGAATGAGAGGGCAGTGATACCAGAGTTGCCCATTTACCACACCATGTTACAGCACAGTAGGGCTATTGCAGACAGAAACAATACTGTACTACATCCATGTTTCCTGTCGGCTCAATTTTTGAGTGGACTTTGCTGTTCCGATGAGCATGAACGGTATATGAGTGGAGCGCTCACATAGAGCGGGATAATACGCAGAGCGTCACACCACGTGAACGTGAAACCTGAGCTGTGAACAAATTTTCGGCAGCCGAAATTTCAGTGCATCTCTAATTATTGGCGACATTAGAAATGGATATTATATAATAGCTGCTTTTTTGAACATTTTAGCTATTTAAAAATATAAAAAAATGCTTTTTTACGCGGCACCCCTGCTCTCGACAGACGGCACCCCGGTTGGGAAACACTGACATAGAATATCTATAATAATTTAGTAAATGGAGAATTTCATATAGGCCTTTCTTTTTGGGACATTTTATGAAAAAACTAAGTGCAGATAGTACTTCAATGGTCTAGACTAGAGAAGAAAGCTACAATTTGCCAGCTAAAGAGAATTTTAAGGAAGAAGATGAAAGATGTTAGTTAGAAGAGAGGAAGATAAATAAAGACTTTGAAATAAATATTTGATGTCAGTTTTTCAAAGAATAATGCAGTTAAAAATTGTGTGAAGTCACAAGAAAATCTTTCCCCTAATGCTCATTTCAACTAATATCACTTTCCAAATGTATTAGCCTTTCAAATGCGTCTTCCTACGTCTGCAAGACTGTCAGGCTAGATCAGGGATCCTCAAATCTGGCCCACGAGATCCACTTTCCTGCAGAGTTTAGCTGTAACCCTAATCAAACACACCTGAGCATGCTAATCAATGTCTTCAGGATCATTAGAAAATCACAGGTAGCTGAGTTTGATCAGGGTTGGAGCTAAATTCTGTAGCGCATTGGACCTCCAGGGCAAGATTTGAGGAACCCTGGGCTATATAATCATACAATATAATCATACAATGTAATCTATAAAAATCATGTAAAAAGAGTAGCTTGCTTTCAGTAAACTCCAATGCTAAATCATATAATTTGTTGGTTTTTTCATGTTAAGCAAAACTTGCGTAGTCCATTTAGATATATTTATGAGTTCTGGTGGTTTTGTCCAACTGAAGGCTTTCAGGAGATATTCAGCACATCTTCTTGGTCTTTCATCATTCTTTGTTCTGCTGCATTTGAAGTGATCCAGACAGCTGCAGCAGACAGACGCTAGTCCCTGACTATAGATAGACCGTCTCGTCTGTTCAGATCAATACATCTTGCCATCTTAGTACAGGAAGAACATGTTTAGGACCTAAAAACGTCATCTATTCTAGATGATTCATGTAGTTCACACTCCTTACCCAGAGTCCCCCGTCCACAGTGCATCACCATCAGAAACCTTTTAAAGTGATGCATAGCATCCCAGCATTAATCTGCTTGCATGAACTCAATATGAAAACTACTTTAATTGAATCCAGCACCTCAAAATCACCGGAACGCAGATAAACAGCTGTGAAAAGAGTTGAAGATGCTTTTTACAGCAGTTTAAATTGGGAAAAGGACCCTACAGAAGCTGAAGTATACTTCTGTGCTGGTGGAGCAGCTCGATAAGGAAAAGTTCCAGGTCCAAACTATAGTTGGAAAAGCTTTCATCAGCAATGAGAGATAGAGAGATGTTGGTTACTCAAGCTCAGTGTGCCCAGCTAACAGGAAGCATTCCTAGAACTTCTGGGAAGGTTCTCTCAAAGTTATGAACAAACACTGAGTAAACTTCCAGTAACCTTAATAGGATATTCATTAATAGTTATCTGGTCTTTAAGAATGTTCTCAAAACATCAGCTCAAAAACATAATTGATATATTGTTCATGGAACTTTGCAGTTGTTACGTTTTAGTTTATAAACGTTACTTGTTTCAAAATGTTCTGAGAACATTCTTTAATGTTCATAAAACCAAGAAGAAGAAAAAAAACATTTCTAAAACCTGGACATTTTGAGCATTCAGAGAACATTCAGAAAAAAATATTTTCATTCCTCGATGGCAACATTAGCAAAACATCCTTAGAACATATATTTATATTGGGTTCATCGAAATACAGCATGGCTCTATATTGCTCTAAGAGCCTCATGAGACCTAAACAATCCATAAGGATTTTAAAGGAGTATTGTATAAGAATCCTGTTGAGGAAAACAAATAATGGCGATGGGATGAGTGAATTGGAATATTCAAGTCCTCCATAAATGCAAAGTTTGAAAACCCATCTACACAAATGAGGTTTTAATTTAACTTGTGGATCTTACCTGAAACCTGACAAAGAAAATAAATTAAATTCCTCAGATAAATCAATGGCGCCTACAATAAAGTACATTCTATTCACAAGTACTTCAACAAAATCAAAAAAATCTTTTTTTAGCTAAAAATATATTGAAATCTACTGAAGTATGAAAATGAACTATTTCTTGTCAGTCCATTTGCTAAGAAAGCATTTGTAAATGTACATGAAAACTAATTTGAAGAGTCTTCCAGTGTGTGATGAAACGCCATAGCAACAACAGAAATCATCTTATCATAGACGTTATGTTCACAGTAAAGGTTATTCATACAGGAGCCTAATACAATCACACTGCAAATGCCACAAGCCTCATGAGCTAAAAGAACAAAGGGAACAGAGGACAAAAACAAAACTCTTTGAAGCAAGTGGAAAATTTATTTAAAACATATCAGATAGCGAGGGATGACATTTCCTATTAGAGAGGGAATTTAGAAGATCTCGTCATCCAATATAATTGCTGACACTCTGATTCTTTAAACAGTGTCATCGTCATATTTAATAACATCCTCTGTCTGAAAAAGAAAACATGAGTTTTAGTCAAACCTGATTTTAATAACTATATTAAAGTCTATTAATCAATTCAAACAGCCTGCAACCTGATCTGACATCTGCTTAAAATACTGAGTTAAAAAGTTCACCTAAAAACGAAAAATCATTTCATCACCCTCAAGCTGTTCCAAACCTTGTATGAGTGTCTTTCTTCTGTTGAACACAAAAGATGATATTTTAAAAAATGTGTGTTGACGGTAGCCATCGACTTCTGTAGTATGAAAAAAATACAATGGAAGTCGATGGCTACCAGCAACTGTTTGTTCACCAACAATCTTCAAATGATCTTCTTTTGTGTTCAACAGAAGAAAGACACTCATACAGGTTTGAAATGACATGGCGGTGAGTAAATGATGACAAAATGTTCATTTTTGGGTGAACTATCTTAAGTTTATTTATCTTACCCGCTGATAAATGGAGTTATATTGTTCTAAGGAGAAATCTAATGCAATTTAGTTTCATTTACGCCGAAGACAGGGGGTATGAACATTTTTAATTAATGACAGGTTCTCTAAAAAGTCATTTTTCCCCTTTTGTTTTCCAGGAAAAAAACAGACAAATTTACACATGGAATTACTACTACGATGAATAACTGATTTATCTTTGCACAATTAATATTCTATGGCTGAAACTTCCAAAGGCAGTGGTTAGTCAGTGTGCTCACCAGCTTTTGACATAGTTGTGCCGGGGAGCGCTGGGAACAGCAGGATGTGCCCAAGTCCACCCAAGCTTGTGTTTGCTTCTCACCTCCCTCCCCCTGCACCTCCTTCTGGAAATAAAGCATTGATGATGAGTTTTCTGCTGATCTGCAACCAGCTCCTTCCTTTCAAACTCCCTGTTGTTAAAAAACATCTTCTGATAATGTTCTTTTCCAGTCTAACCATAAATTACAGAGTTTTGAACGACGGCAGGTCCAGTCGTGAAGTACCGCGAACAAGTGTCATCCAACTTGGACAGAAGTGCTGTAGTCTTTTTCAATTTACTCTCCTGTTTGATAAAAGTTGAGAGAGCGAGAGAGAGAGAGGAAGAAAAAAAAATGAAAGAACAGTTTGACCAGTAATCCAAACCTTAAAATAAAAAATGACTATGTATTTTCCTTGTCAATGTTCAAAGTCAAGCAGCAGGAGAGAAGATGAGAGAGTACCGCGTTGTTGTTATGACAGTTCGGGCTTGGTTAGCACCCAGCGAGTACAAAGAGCACCCTGTCGCTCTAAATTAATTGAAATCTCGCAACCCTCTCTCAGTTGTTTTGAACGATGGCAGGTCCAGTCTGAAGTACCGCGAACAAGTGTCATCCAACTTGGACAGAAGTGCTGTAGTCTTTTTCAATTTACTCTCCTGTTTGATAAAAGTTGAGAGAGCGAGAGAGAGAGAGGAAAAAAAAAAAAATGAAAGAACAGTTTGACCAGTAATCCAAACCTTAAAATAAAAAATGACTATGTATTTTCCTTGTCAATGTTCAAAGTCAAGCAGCAGGAGAGAAGATGAGAGAGTACCGCGTTGTTGTTATGACAGTTCGGGCTTGGTTAGCACCCAGCGAGTACAAAGAGCACCCTGTCGCTCTAAATTAATTGAAATCTCGCAACCCTCTCTCAGTTGGCGAGCAAGCTGCGTTTGTGCATGCTAATGTACGTTCATTCTCTGGATACAGATTCCGTTTAGACCATTCAATTAGATGCTCTCACCAGCAACTCTTCGCACTTCGCCATTTACTATATGTGGAAAAACAGCGAGCGAGCAGATAATTGGAGGATCTGCAAGGGAAAACTGAAAGGCTAAATTAACCAAACAGTGACATGCTTTAGATCAGGCTACCTGTGAGATTTTGATATCATTTTCAAGCATTAAAAGCAGTTCTCCTGCAGCTCCGGTGGTGAAAGCATTAAATAGGATTTCATCAAGGTTGTTTTTCTCAAGCATCCTTATGCAATGCCGTCTACCTCAACTCAATGCATCAGCATAGCGTCTCAGCTCTGATGAGAGCTTCAAACAATACAATCCCAATCTCAAAACCGAGATGAGTCTTCACAGCAAAATGAAGTCACTCAATGAGGCATTGTGCTGCAAGACATGCATCAAAAAGATCGAAACCTCTCACAATAGCCGTCTACCCAGCTTTGAGCTGTCTTACAGTCCTTGAAAATACAAATACAAAACCCTTGAAATCTGAAGAATGGCTTGGTTGTGTAATAACCGAAAATCTGCAGCTATCAAATCAACCTGTTATGAAACAAAGATCTCCTGTCGTGAACCTGGTAGATCATGTCAGTCTCAGATGGAATAGCGTCATCTCACCTTCTCCGTTAAACACACTGTAACATCGGCAGATGAGCAGCAGGCCGTTACTGTGTTCTTGATTCGATCGAGAACGGTCGCCAGCACAGGAAGAGAAATGGAGGCATGATTCACTCCAATTAGAAACAAGTCTCTGGACACACACACACACACACACACAGGTTTGTTTTTGTGAAAAGTGGGGACATCCCATAGGCGTAATGGTTTTTCTACTGTACAAACTGTATTTTCTATTGCCCTACACCAACCCTACCCCTCACAGCAAACTTTGTGCTATTTCAGATTTTCAATACACTCCATTCTGTGTGATTTATATGCGTTTTGAAAAGTGGGGACATGGGGTAATGTCCTGAAAAGTCACCTTCTCCTTGTAATACCTATGTCATACCCTTGTCATTAAACAAATGTATGTCCTCATTTGTCACAAAAACGCGTGCACACACACACACACACACACACTTTTGATTCTCATTCATTGACTTCAGGAGGACACATGCTATTTTGTGAATCCCCTGCTATGCCATACATCATGAGTTTATTTATATTTTGTGGCCACTACTATAAATGCATGTTCTGAGGGCAGCCCATGAGCAAAAACGTTCAGTTAACCAGCAGGAGGCTGCAAGACCTCAAGGTGTTTTGAAAATATTCTCCAGAGGAGGTTCTGGTCACTTCACCCTAGGTTTCTGCTGTAATACTAGGACAGGGGTTTTAAAACTGGGGTCCATAAGAAGGTTCTGTCCAATTTATATCTCTATATATTTATTTATATCTATATATCAATATTTATGGACAGTGCTGAATTTCGAATTGAATTAGAAATGTTTCTCTTTGGGTTTATACTTTTTAACATCCCTCTAATAGTGTATAATGATTTTCTATAGAGAAAGCAACGGTTAAAACAGAATCAATATGTTCTTGTTAATATTTGAATTGTTTGCTTTTGTCTTCAGTTTAATAACAAGTAGTATTCAAACAATGTGCGGTCTTTATCAGACTATTTCTGACAGAGTTTATATATGTTTTTATAGGAGGGGGCTTCCCAATCCCACAGCCCCATCAGTAAGGCTCAAAATGACCGTAAGTTCCAAATGTAGGTTCGGGAGGAGCCTAATCATTCAGTCCTGTCAATCATCATTACGAGCCTATATAAGCAGCTCTCATTGCACTGTGACCACTGTCCCATTGTCAATTCTTCCGGCATAAATTGAATTAGACATGTTTCTCTTCGGGTTTATACTTTTTAACATCCCTCTAATAGTGTATAATGATTTTCTATAGAAAAAGCAAAGGTTAAAACAGAATCAATATGTTCTTGTTAATATTTGAATTGTTTGCTTTTGTCTTCAGTTTAATAACAAGTAGTATTCAAACAATGTGCGGTCTTTACCATACTATTTCTGACAGAGTTTATATACGTTTTTATAGGAGGGGGCTTTCCCAAACCCACAGCCCCATCAGTAAGGCTCAAAATGACCGTAAGTTCCAAATGTAGGTTCGGGAGGAGCCTAATCATTCAGTCCTTGTGAGGAAAATGTAAGGTCCAGCTGTGGCCCACACTCTCCAGGTGCAAGTCAAATATGTTTTACCTTCATTCTGATAACTGAATAAATTAATATTAGAATCAGGCGAGAAGGTGATCTTGTGAAACAACGCTTTGTTGCACAGTTAAGACTAGATTTCAAGTGCTTCTTGCAGCCCAAATAGATATTTGTTTTAATCTGTCTATGAAAAATTGATCACAAGAGGCATTCTGAGCTTTAGCATCTGAACATAACGCAAATTAAGCAAAAGTCTAAAGCTTTTTTTCTAATTAATGAGCGTTCAGAGAGTCATTTTGCTCATATTCTCATATTCATAGCCACTCTGTGAATAATTCATGACTATTTGCACTCTTGCCCTTTAAGCAGCTTGCTAAAGATCAAAATCAAGAGGAACGCTCTCCATTGCGTTTGGGAAAAGGAGACTGTGTGACTATTCCCAGAGTGGGTCACGGTGAACACGCAATATGCCAATTACTGTTTATTACTCAGCATCACATTGGCATTTACACCACATTAAGACAGATCAAAATATGGTGCAGTGATCGCAAGGTCTTCGTTCAACAAAGCACTTGATCTCAGCACATCAGAATGAAATAAGCGGACTAGCAGAAATATCTTTTCCGGTTGACCTTTGCTTTAAGAGACGCATGGATTCCCTACCTCTGAATATCTGATGAATATTAAATTAGCACCTAACAATCCCATGTGGTTGAGCTTCCTCACAGATCTTAGATGAAACAGGATTAGCTACGTCTGCAGACTGACGAGGTTGCCTTTTCAAGTCATCCACGCAGGGAAGAGTATCCAGGGCAGGTTTAATGCAGCACTTCCGGAAATCCTCAGACATGGCATCCAGTTTGGATTCACTGCAGAGAACTTTCTGAAAGCTTGTTAGCTATTATGAAATGAACAGAAACAGCAGCTTTGATAAAAGCATTATGTGACTGACTGCAGGTATTAGTGTGAAGATACAGATACAAAGGCTGTTCTAAAGGAACTCGCCCATGAAAGGATGGCCATGAAATGAAGTTTAGAGCCACAGAGTAAAAGAAAAAAAATGTCAGATTAGAAACGCGAGTATTATATCTTCCAGTAGCTGCATGTTTTTCATCAGTTACCAGAGAAAAAAAGTGCATTCTTTTTGTCTGTCATATCATCAGACATCTTGTGAAGCGGAACAGGAGAAATGCACCACCAGAAGGATTACTGGTCAAAAGAATTGTCCCAAGAGACATTTTGAACCTTTGTGCTGCTCATTGTGGTTTGATGAAAACACAGCATCGAGTGGCCCACCCCCTCCCCTGACCCTTCTCCTCACCTCTTGAATTATACGTTCAGGTTGGGGCTGTAAACAGCATTTTTCCAGCCCGGACTGAAAACGAGCAGATATGGCTGATGCCTTTTCAAAGGACAGTCCTAGGAGATTTCCATAATATGCAGACAACCTATAAATATGACACAATTTACATATGTAAGGAAATGTAAGTCCATGGTATGTAATGAGCATGACACATTTCATTCACACGTTGGACCATATAGGAAACTAAACAGTTAACATACAGTTAGGTCCATATATATTTGGACACTGGCACAATTTTCATCATTTTGGCTCTGTATGCCACCAGAACAGAAATAAAAATAAAACAATCAAGATGAAATTGAAGTGCAGACTTTACGCTTTAATTCAAGGGGTTGAACAAAAATATAACATAAAAAATGCTTAGGAATTACAACCATTTTTATACACAGTCCCCCCTTTTTCTGGAACTCAAATGTAATTGGACAAATAAATATAATCATAAATAAAATGTTTTTAATATTCTGTTAAAAAAATCCTTTGCTGGCAATGACTGCATTAAGTCTGGAACTCATAGACATCACCAGAGACTGGGTTTCCTCTTTTGTGTTGCTTTGCCAGGCCTTTACTGCAGCGGACTTCAGTTGTTGTTTGTTTGTGAGTCTTTCTGCCTTTAGTTTTGTCTTCAGCAAGTGAAGTGCATTCTCAATCGGGTTGAAATCAGGAAATTGACTTGGCCATTGCAGAATATTCCACTTTTTTACCTTCAAAAACTCCTGGGTTGTTTTTGCTGTATGTTTTGGGTCATTGTCCATTTGTACTATAAAGTGCCATCCAATCAACTTTGCTCCATTTGACTGAATCTGGGCAGACAGTATATCCCTATACACTTCAGAATTCTTCCGGCTGCTTCTGTCTACTGTCACGTCATCACTAAAGACCAGTAACACAGTGCCACTGGAAGCCACGCATGCTCATGCCATCACACTGCTCCACCATGTTTCACAGATGATGTTGTGTGCTTTGGATCATGAGCTGTTCCAAGTCTTCTCCATTTTTTTTCATAAGGTTGATCTTAATTTCAGCCGTCCAAAGAATGCTTTTCCAGAAGTGGTCTGGCTTTTTTAGATGTTTTTTGGCAAAGTCTAATCTGGCCTTGTTTGCACCTTGTGGTGAACCCTCTGTATTTGCTCTCGTGAAGTCTTCTCTTGATTGTAGACTTTCACAGTGACACACCTACCTCCTGGAGAGTGTTCTTCTCTTGACTGGATGTTATGAAATGTTTTTCTTTACCATGGAGAGGATCCTCCGATCATCCATATTTATTTCCTTTCCTCATGTCATTCTAAACCCATATGCTGATGCTGTTTCTTTTTTTAGAAAAGGTTTTCTATAGAATGTTTTTCTTAAAATAAGTTCTATACTAAGTTCTGTAGTAAACATTACTTGAAGAAACATTTACATTAATTTTTGTCCAACAACAAGAGTCATAACTTGATTTTGAACAAAAACAACAACAACAACAGTATACTATTTAGAAACACCATGAGAATGGTGGATAATAACAGAATTTTTGCTGAAACTGGTTCTGTAATATTATGATGAAGCTGTGCGAGCCATGGCATATTTACCCAAACTTGAAGGATTTAAAATTCACTTGGTTGTTGCAAACATTGGAGAGAAACCTCAGAAAATTTTTGGAGCTTTGTATCTGGAGACTCTGTAAACATACATGGTTTGTAATAAGATATTAATCACATACCACATATCACATCAACCACCACCATTCATTAGCATTTTTTTTTGCATTTTCACAATCATTATTGGGGTTTTGACCTACATAAATTAAACTGATTTAAACTGAATTATATCATTACTGTATTTCAGGCTCTTATCCTCATAATCACTTTATTCCATCCTGTATTTCTGCTCCCTTAGACAAATTGCTAGACAAAACTAGACAAATAGCACTCTTCCCCCTACACAGCAACTAAAATAAAGACATTTAATTAGTAGCTGTTCAAAGCAGTGTGGGCAGCAGAAAGCAGATTTTAGCTCCATGAACAGCACATGTGAATCCACCATCACAGGTTTTGTTTTGACAATATTATCTTGGAATCCGGTTTGTTCCTCCCAATAGACTGTGCAAGAGCCTTCAGGCAATTTGATACCAAAAGCAGACACACAATACACAATGATTATTAGTCCCATTACAGGCTGGCAAAGCACCCTTTAGCTTGTATATGGCGGCATATGGTACAAATTTGGATTGTCTTCAGACAATACATATAACTAGGTGAGTAAAGTTCGCAGACGAACTTTGAAGTTGGCTTGAGAAAGCCTTGTCTGAAAGTTTGAAATAGCTTTGAAAAGCTTAAAGTTGAATTTTAATTGTTGAAACTGAAGTTTGGGACAGAGTGGGGACACACATGTTTCTAGCATGAATTAACTTGCTGCTAGCATTATTTAACATGTCACTAGCATGTTGCTAGCATGATTAACATGTTGTTAGCATTTTTAGCTCGATACTAGCATATTGCTAACATGTTTCTAGCATGATTATTATGTTCCTAGCATGTTCTTAGCATGTTTCTAGCATTATTAGCATGTTACTAAAATGGTGTTAACACGATTAGCAAGTTACTAGCATGGTTAGCAAGTTACTAGCATGATTAGCATGTTGCTAGCATGTTGTTAACATGATTAGCAAGATACTAACATGATTAACAAGTTACTAACATTTTGTTAGCATTTTTCTAACATGATTAACATGTTACTAGCATTTGTTAGCATTATTAGCAAGTTACTAGCATGTTGTTAACATGTTTCTTACATGATTAACACGTTACTATTATGTTCTTAGCATGTTTATAGGATGATTAGCAAGTTATTAGCATAGTTAGCAAGTTACTAGCATGTTTCTAGCATGATTATCGTGTTATTAGCATGTTGTTAACATGAACAGTAAGTTACTAGCATGTTGTTAACATGTTTCTAGCATGATTATCATGTTACTAGCTTGTTAGCATGATTGGCAAGTTACTAGCATGATCCTAGCATTATTATCATGTTGCTAGCATGTTACTAGCATGATTAGCATTTTGCTAGCATGATTAGCAAGATACTAGCATGATTTTAGTATGATTAGCAAGTTATTAGCATGTTGTTAGCATGAACAGTAAGTTACTAGCATGTTGTTAATGAGAACGAGCGTACGACAGTTAGCGGAAGCTAGAGATGAATGTTTATAAAGTTGTAAATATGGATATTTTTCTTACACAAACACATTGCGTCGCTTCAGAAGGCCTTTATTAACCCCCCGGAGCCCGTGGACTTCTTTTATAATGGATGGGTGCAATTTTTTGGACTTCAAATTTTGGGCTACCATCCACTCCCATTATAGATTGTATTCGTCTGAAAGAAGAATGTCATATACACCTAGGATGGCTTGAGGGTGAGTAAATCATGGGGTAATTTTCATTTTTGGATGAACTATCCCTTTAAGACTGGTTTTGTGGTCCAGGGTCACAAATGTTGTTTCTTTTGCTCAAATAGCGTTATAAAAAGCGTATTTTTCAGGCTAGATCAGCCAGTGCGCATGTGCAGTCCTGAGCGCACGTCTCAGAGCGCTGACTGTTTCTATAGCAACCGGGACTTCTAATGGCAGCTGCAGTGACGTGCTGACTTTACCGATTAGCGATGGGCTCTTTCATTCAGAAGGCGGGGCTTCCTGCGATTGAGCGCCCATATTAAGCATTGCATTTTTCCCCATTCAACACTATATGAGTGACACGTACAGTGGGGAAAAAAAGTATTTAGTCAGCCACCAATTGTGCAAGTTCTCCCACTTAAAAAGATCAGAGAGTCCTGTAATTTTCATCATAGGTATACCTCAACTATGAGAGACAAAATGAGAAAAAAAAACTTGCTGCTAGCATTATTTAACATGTCACTAGCATGTTGCTAGCATGATTAACATGTTGTTAGCATTTTTAGCTCGATACTAGCATATTGCTAACATGTTTCTAGCATGATTATTATGTTCCTAGCATGTTCTTAGCATGTTTCTAGCATTATTAGCATGTTACTAAAATGGTGTTAACACGATTAGCAAGTTACTAGCATGGTTAGCAAGTTACTAGCATGATTAGCATGTTGCTAGCATGTTGTTAACATGATTAGCAAGATACTAACATGATTAACAAGTTACTAACATTTTGTTAGCATTTTTCTAACATGATTAACATGTTACTAGCATTTGTTAGCATTATTAGCAAGTTACTAGCATGTTGTTAACATGTTTCTTACATGATTAACACGTTACTATTATGTTCTTAGCATGTTTATAGGATGATTAGCAAGTTATTAGCATAGTTAGCAAGTTACTAGCATGTTTCTAGCATGATTATCGTGTTATTAGCATGTTGTTAACATGAACAGTAAGTTACTAGCATGTTGTTAACATGTTTCTAGCATGATTATCATGTTACTAGCTTGTTAGCATGATTGGCAAGTTACTAGCATGATCCTAGCATTATTATCATGTTGCTAGCATGTTACTAGCATGATTAGCATTTTGCTAGCATGATTAGCAAGATACTAGCATGATTTTAGTATGATTAGCAAGTTATTAGCATGTTGTTAGCATGAACAGTAAGTTACTAGCATGTTGTTAATGAGAACGAGCGTACGACAGTTAGCGGAAGCTAGAGATGAATGTTTATAAAGTTGTAAATATGGATATTTTTCTTACACAAACACATTGCGTCGCTTCAGAAGGCCTTTATTAACCCCCCGGAGCCCGTGGACTTCTTTTATAATGAATGGGTGCAATTTTTTGGACTTCAAATTTTGGGCTACCATCCACTCCCATTATAGATTGTATTCGTCTGAAAGAAGAATGTCATATACACCTAGGATGGCTTGAGGGTGAGTAAATCATGGGGTAATTTTCATTTTTGGATGAACTATCCCTTTAAGACTGGTTTTGTGGTCCAGGGTCACAAATGTTGTTTCTTTTGCTCAAATAGCGTTATAAAAAGCGTATTTTTCAGGCTAGATCAGCCAGTGCGCATGTGCAGTCCTGAGCGCACGTCTCAGAGCGCTGACTGTTTCTATAGCAACCGGGACTTCTAATGGCAGCTGCAGTGACGTGCTGACTTTACCGATTAGCGATGGGCTCTTTCATTCAGAAGGCGGGGCTTCCTGCGATTGAGCGCCCATATTAAGCATTGCATTTTTCCCCATTCAACACTATATGAGTGACACGTACAGTGGGGAAAAAAAGTATTTAGTCAGCCACCAATTGTGCAAGTTCTCCCACTTTGTTATTACTCATTAGTTACTTGAAAAGTCAAATGAGTGTGAGAGCAAATAATAGTAACCCTAATTGTGTTAGCATTACATTAATAACATGCAAATTTTGTTAGCATAATGCTAAAAACATGCAAACACAATTAACGTGTTATTACCATGAAATTAGCATGATTAGCATGTTGCTAGCATGTTTTTAACAAGATGTTAACATGATTAGCATGATGCTAGCAATATGCTAACATGATTAGCACATTGTTAGCATGATGCAAGCATGTTTTTAACAAGATGTTAACATGATTAGCATGTTGTTAGGGCTGGGCGATCTGGCAAAAAAATTTTATCTGGATTTTTTCAGAACGTTTGACCGATTCTTGATTTTTTAATCTTTTAAACTTAAAAATGTTACTACAACATGATTCAAATAGCTTTTTCTTTATTAACCCTCTAGTTAAAGAAAATTATAGTGCAGCACACATGAAGTTGAAGATCATGATGTAAATGTTAAACAAATCACTTGTTAAATATCTTTGCAGAAAAGATGCATGAACTACAACTGCATCCTGTACAAACTTGTTTTATAGCCTACATGTTATATGTTCAGAAATAATAGGCTACAATGGAAATGCTTAAAAAAATTCTCAACAGTCAATGTAATTCAAATTCAGAATGTCTGCCTTTATACATAGAATCCGAAAATTGTACATTTCTAAACTGCGTACTTGTAAATATATCTGTACATTCATTTAAACAGTTACATTTCTCTATATTTCTACTTCTGTATATAGTGCATTATTTAATTTTCAGTTTTTCTTATATTAGTGTTATACTCCATCTCTACTGTGTAATTCCTATGTCTGCTGCACTAGTTTGCACTATGTTATACTTCTGCACTGGAAGCTCCAGTCACTAAATCAAATTCCTTGTCTGTGTAAACATACTTGGTAATAAAGTTCTTTCTGATTTCTGAAGGTATAAACCAGTAGACTATTAACAATAAATGTTCTGTGAAAACAATGAACAGCAGCTTTAAATATTAGACATACAGTTCTTTACAGGTTTTTTTATTAGATTGCGTGGCTTTTCTATAGTTTTTTCTATGTAAACATGGACGCGTTTGACTGCTGCACTAGGATCTCTTGCAGCATCTCACGCATGAAATGGCATTATAAATACGCAGCACTCAAATTAAAAGAAGTTCACTTACATCTTCTTGCATGTTTTTTCTATTCCACTGTCCATGTCGCATCTTTGTCAACACAAAAGCGCATTCTGTGTGAATGGCCCCAGCTAACAATTTTTGGTTAGCTTATTTCAGACATGAAATTCTGCAAAAATAATTTGTTTATGATTAAAAAAACAGACATTTCAGCATTAGAATAATCAGAAACATCTGCAAAGTTGGAA